AAAGGTCAAGTTTCCAAGTGACCAAGGATTGCATCAACAGTAATCCTGTCTCTGTCTTCTTAGGCTTGCACTCTGACAGTTTACCTAAATATACTGCTCTCCTACACTCAGAGATTCAAAGAGACGTGACCCATCACCAGCTGTGAACTAAATTAAGTTATATTTTAACTGAGATAAGAACCATTCACAAAGTACCATGGTGTCATGTAGGAGTTTTCACAGTTAAGACAGTAGAGGCTAGTGCTCCCTGTCACATTGTGGGGACCACTGGTGTGGCTGCCAGTCTGAAGATGGTTTGGGTCTGAATGCCCTCCAGCCTTTTGGGAGATTTTTCAGTCTTCTGAGGGCCCTTAGTGCCACAGTCCAGGCCCCAGGCAGCTGGCGGCAGCAGAGGACAGGATCTCTACATGGACTCTTCCTGGGAAGGTTTGCTAATCTGCACAGCTAAGTGTTCACTTTGTGTATGTGTGTGTGTGTGTGTGTGTGTGTATGTGTGTGTGTGTCACTGTGATTGAACTCAGGGCCTCACACTTGCTAGGCAGGCACTCTTACAGGTTGAGCCACTCCTCCAGCACTCTTTTTGTGATGGGTTTGTTCAAAATGCAGTCTCAGGAAATACTTGTGCAGGACCAGCTTTGAACTGTGCTCCTCATGACCTCTCTACCACCTGAGATGCTAGGATTACAAGTGTCAAGCCACTGGCACTCAGCATATTTCTTGCTAACATCTGTTTGTCCACTTGGTCTTGACACCACCTTATTGTGGTGGCAGGGACTCCGCTCCAATTCTATATAGAGAAAGCACACAGGACTCTACTTCAATGACATTAAGAAGTGCCTGTAAAGTCTTGGTGGCGTTGCCATCCAGACCTACAAAGGAGCCCAGAAACCTCTCCCATAGAGGTGGCCTGAGAACCTGCTAGTCAAGGACAGTAGAAAAAAGAAAATTTTATTACCTGGCAAGAGTAAATTAGCAGCACCTACAAACCTACACTTTAATGCCTAAATGCCACTTACAGAATTGTGTCAACACATTTCAAGATTCTCAATGAGACAGACATAGCCTAGAAACGGCTATTTCAAAATGAGCCAGTAATACAAACAGCACATGTGTAACTTTTAGAATATTTCCTTCAGGTCAGGTATTGTCAGGAGCATTCTACACGAATTATACAAACTCCTTCATCTCAGTCTCCTCAAGTTTCTTAGACTCACAGGATTTCAGTAAAGGAGGAATTGCTATGGGATATTCACATTATTAAAACTGAAAACTTGTTTTCCCTCCAATCACAGTGCTCCCATGTAGCCCAGGGTAGACTCAAATTTGAAATTGACCTGCTTGAGCTTCCCGACAGCTGGGATTACAGGCACATACCACCACACCCAACAAAATTGACAACTTGAACTATTTTTCATATTCACATTATTTTGATATAGTGTGCATTTTTCTTACCTGGGGACCAAGTGAAAACTTACACATCTATTCAAGAGATTTCTATCTGTGACTTGAACTTAGATAACTCAAGGCATTCTGAGGTGCATTATACTGTTAATATTACTAGTGCTAGAAAGGTCAGATGATAAGGAACCAGTCTCACATCCTATACTTATCTCTCCAGAGTGCATCCAGTACTGCAATTTTTAAAAAAAAGGGACTGGTGGAGTGGCTTAAGTGGTAAGAGTGCCTGCCTGCAAGCAGGAGGCCCTGAGTTCAAACCCTAGTGCCACACAAAAAAAAAAAAAGAAATTGGAGCCATTTGTACTTCTTGACATTTATCACATTATCAGGCTTTCTGATCAGTGTGAGTCTTCTGAATGCTGCTGTAACAACTGAAGGTTTTCCACATTGCTAACACACATAGGCTTTTCTCCTGTGTGAACTACTTCATGTCTTTGAAGGGAACTGGACAAAGTGAAGGATTTCCCACATTGCTTACATACATAAGGTTTCTCTCCGGTGTGAGTTCTTTTATGTTTCTGAAGGTAACTGGATCTAGTGAAGGCCTTGCCACATTCCTTGCATACATAAGGTTTTTCTCCTGTGTGAACTACTTCATGCCTGAGAAGGTAACTGGATAACGTGAAGGCTTTTCCACATTGCTGACACACGTAAGGTTTCTCTCCAGTGTGACTTCTTTTATGTGTCTGAAGGTAACTGGACTGAGTGAAGGCTTTGCCACACTGCTCACATACATAAGGTTTTTCTCCAGTGTGAATTCTTGTATGTATTTTAAGGTAACTGGATAGAGTGAAGGCTTTCCCACATTGCTGACACACGTAAGGTTTCTCTCCAGTGTGCATTCTTTTATGTTTCTGAAGGTAACTGGACTGAGTGAAGGCTTTGCCACACAGCTTACATAAAAAGGGTTGTTCTCCATTGTGACTTCTTATATGTTTCTGAACGTAACTGGACTGAGAGAAGGCTTTGCCACACAGCTTACATAAAAAGGGTTTTTCTCCAGTGTGACTTCTTGTATGTATTTGAAGGTAACTTGATTCATTGAAGGCTTTCCCACACAGCTTGCATACAAAAGGTTTTTCTCCAGTGTGACTTCTCATATGTATTTGAAGGTACTTAGATACAATAAAGGATTTACCACACTCCTTACATAAATAGGGTTTCTCTCCAGTGTGAGTCCTTTCATGTGTTCGAAGAGAACTGTAAACAGTGAAGGCTTTCTCACAGAGCTTACACACATAGGGTTTCTCTCCAGTGTGACTTCTTTCATGGACCTGAACGTTCCTGTGTCTTCTGAAGGTTTTCCCACATTGCTGACATTCATGGTGTTTGTTTCTAGTGTGAATCCTTTTATGATTTTGAAGAGAACTGAGATATCTGAAGGCTTTATCACACTGCATACATTCATAGGGTTTCTCTCCAATATGAGTCCTTTCATGCTTATCCAGGCATTGGGGAGAACAGAAAGTTTCCCCACGTCCCTTACATATCTGTGGCTTCTCTCTATATCCTGGGTACTCATATGGTTTGTGTATACTGTGATCCCTGAGGGGCACATTTCCAGGTGAGTGACCATTGAGGATTTCACACATGTGGCTTTCACATGGCATTACTCCAGGAATTTTCTTGCTCACAATCTCATGTGAAGTTTGGCTGAAGGCTTCTCCCCATTGACAGCCTTCATGTTCACAGAATCTCTCTACCACTTGACTTCTGTAACAAAAGTGCAGTAAGTTACAAAGAGTTTGTTTCTCAATGATTTCACATTTTTTCATCGGTAGCACAGTTACATATTTCTGTCATGAGGATAACCATAGGCTTTATATCCTGTAGAGACTCCCTGAATGTGAATGGACTGAATATCACCAGGAGGGCTCAACTGCTAATGTTAACAAAGGAGTGATATTCACATGGGATTTATTTTCTTTTCTTTTTGACAACACTGGGGTTTGAATTCAGGGTCTCACACTTACTAGGCAGGTACTATTATCACTTGAGCCACTCCGTCAGCCCTTTTTTTGATGGGATTTTTGAGATAGGGTCTCACAAACTATCTCACAAACTATTTTTCCTGGCTGGCTTCAAATCACGGTCCTCCTGATCTCTGCCTCCTGACTATCTAGGATCAGAGGTTTCTTAATACTACCTCCATGTTCACTATTTTGCAAACACTGAACATCTGTGTTACATTGAAGTACAGATCATCCAAAATGCATGAGACCAGAAGTGTTTTAGATTCTGGATTTTAAAATAGAGCAAATATACAATGATTCATCAGAGATGAGACTCAAGTGTACACATGAACTAAGTTTATGTTTCCTATACACCTTTTACCCAAAGCCTGAAGGTAATGTCATATAACATTTTTAATATTTAGGGGCACAAAACAAATTTTGTGTACAATAAACCATCACAGTGTCATTTGTGGCATCATTTGTTGCTCAAAAACTTTAGACTCTTTGAATTTTTGGACTTACAGGTATTCAAGTTGTATGTAGACTTAGAGAAACTTTCCAGAGAGGCAATGAATTTGAGGTTGGGCATAGCTCTGTATCTATATCTATTGAGCAGATATATAAACACACACACACACACACACACACACACACACACACACACACACACACACACACACATCTATATATTCCGATAAGTAGCCAGGTCAGAAACTCACTTCATAGCCCAGGCTAGCCTTGAAATTGTGATTCTCCATCTTCAGCCCTGAAATGCTGGGATTACAGATGTGTGCCACCAAGTACTGGTTTTGTTCATTTCAAATACTTCCCGCCATTACAAGTTTTCTCAGGAATTATTTTGCCATGAGTGCAAATTACCTTAGATATTTTCCAAGATTTTTATACTTGACTTCAAAGTTCTGGTCTCCCAATTTTTGTCCTAAAAAGTGGATCAAAAAAAAAAACATTATGAATTATTACAAAATGATATAAAAATTATTAGTTTGGGTTCAAGTTCCCTTGAAAAATGCCTAATTTATTCACCAAAGCAGTCCCTTCTCATATATAAAATCTTTGACCAGCACAGAACACTTTGTCCCTGACTCAGTGAAGGCATGATGTCACCCTTACCTACAGCATGCAGGTTCCTGATGGTTTCCCGCATCACAGATCTATACAGATTCTCCTGAGACGGATTCAGCAAACTCCACTCCTCCAGGGTGAAGTTCACAGCCACGTCCTCAAAGGTCACCGACTCCTACAAGAGCCACATGTGTTCAGGAGGAAGGATGAGATGGACAACTCCTGGGGTCTAGACTCAATTCACAACAAGTTCACGTGACATTGACAACTCCAAACATGTTCTGTGTGATTTGGTGGCTCTATTCTTTCTGTGCACACTCACATATCTCAGTTTTTCTGATACTAGATTTGAATACTTCCATAAAGAAACAGGAGAACACGCTCATTGGTGACTTCAAATGTGTGCCTGGGTCATTCCTCATCCTTACTGTACAGTGGCTCTGAAGCAGGTGCCAAAGTCCTATGACCTACTACTCAGTGTAGAGTTGAAATCGGCAGTCCTGAGACTTTGTCTTCATAGACGTGTGTGTTCCCAAAGCTGTGCCACCTTTCCTTGCACCTGGGAACTGGTGTTGGGATGGACCTCAGCCATCGAGCTGAGGAGAGGAGCTTAGTCTGCCTACACAGTTCATGAAAGCAGTATGTATCTTCTTCACTTGCTTCCCTGTGAAAGTTTGCACTTTTCCGACATGATTACTAGAGCAAGCCTTGGTGACCAGTGTCCAAAAGTTCCCTGGGCACTGATTCTCATACTGAGTTTCCAACACACAATATTTTAAGCCAACTGTCACAACTGCTTGCTCGAGGCATGCAGCACATCCTCTGCAATTACATTAACAGCCAAGAGCTGAAAGCTTGAACCTAGTGTGAGACAGACCAAATTTAATCATTATGTAACATGAATGAATGGTAAATGATTGAAAGCACACAATACGGCAACCTTAATTGACAAAAGGGTAGATCAAAATGTACCAGAGAGAAGTTTGCACGTTACCAACACAGAGATACGAAACTATGTTAAGACATGGGAATTAGCCTGATCTACTCAGTGCACCCTGTATGCAAATACTGAAATGTACATGGTAGCCCACAAACATACAAAATTATGTATGCATTAAAAATTTTAAAAGAGCTTGGTGTCTCATGACTGTAATCCTAGCAATTAAGGAGGCAGAGATCAGGAGGATGTTAGTTAGAAGACAGAAGAGGCAAATAGTTCCCGAGACCCTAGCTCCAAAATAATGACACCAAAATGGATTAGAGGTGTAACTCAAGCAGTAGAGCACCAGCTTTGCAAGCATGAAAGTACTGAGTTCAAAAATTTAAATAGGAGAGCCAGGTGTGCTGGCAGACACCTGCGATCCAAGCCACATATGAGACAGAGATGGGAAGACAGCAGTGTGAGACCAGCTTGAGCAAAGTGGGAGATCCTATCTGAAAAAAAAGAATTAACCTAGAAGGTAACACCCACGCACAGGAAATCAATGTGAGTCAATGCCCTGTATAGCTATCCTTATCTCAACCAGCAAAACCCCTTGTTCCTTCCTATTATTGCTTATACTCTCTCTACAACAAAATTAGAGATAAGGGCAAAATAGTTTCTGCTGGGTATTGAGGGGGGGAGCGGGAGGGGGTGGAGTGGGTGGTAAGGGAGGGGGTGGGGGCAGGGGGGAGAAATAAACCAAGCCTTGTATGCACATATGAATAATAAAAGAAAAATGAAAAAAAAAAAAAAGAAAAGAAAAGCGCCAGGGACATGGTTCAAGTGGTAGAACACTTGCCAAATATGAGACATGAGTTCAAAACACATGAATGTCAAAACAAACACGCAAAGAATTTAAACAGAGAATTTTCTCATAATAAAAAGTCAGAAATGAAAAAAATGTCAAAATGGACTGACAAATTTAAAAGTATTAAAACATATGGAGGTAAAGAACACAACACAAGAGAAATATCTACAATGCATACAATGATAAAAGGATTACTGCACAGAGTAAAATTGAAAAAATGGGGAAACAACCAAAACGTATTTATCAGAAGGTAAAACACCCTATGTGAAGAAATATCCAGGCACATAGTAATGAAGAGACAAGTAAATGTTGAGTACATCCCATTTCATACCTATGAAAGGACAGAATTGAGCCCACGAGATAATACCAAGTGTTGATGGCCACAGCACACTGACAGTTATGCAGATAAAGGGCTTCCTTCCTATTTCCTGTATAACTTGAACTTGACCACAACCTAGAGCCCACTCATCTTCCCCATGAATGTATTGCGCTGTGGTACTTGGAGAAAGATGGAGACGCAACAGGAGCAGTATTGAACACAAGAGAAAAAAAGTCAACCCCAAAATACCAAGTACAGAACCCCAGGGATGAGAAACTGGTCCTGCCTCAGACTCTGGCACTTCTGAAACATACCTTGGCAAAGAAAACACCCGTCAGCCTTTGCAATTCCATCAAGACTCACTTGCTCAAAGTTCAAAGGAGGCAAAATAAAAACACCACTGCTTAGTTAAAAGGAACAAATGGTAAAGATAGGAAAGTTCACCAAAGAATTGGAGCACTGGGGCAAGACTGATGTGAAACAGGCAGGAGACCGCCTGGGGACACTACTGACTGCAAGGCCAGTTATGAATCTTGATGAGGACTCCAAGGGAGTTTATATTGTTAGAAATACTAAATCTTACCAGAAATGTTTTGCTTTTGTGAATATATTTCATCACAAATATGTAAAGACTTCAGACTGAAAAGCACATCCTAATTTGTGTGTGTTCATCTCTCCTGCAATGTAACCATCTGAGTTGGCATCCACAGATCTGGAAGCAAAAAAAAAACAGAGCAGCACAGGTCACAGTAGGGCTCCCCAGCAAGCAGCAGGTAAGGTGCATGACAGCCATCAGAGAGCAGGGAAGGTGAGCAGGTCAGAGCAGAGGAGACAGACTCTGTAAGGTGCTCCATCACTAGTCATCCTGCTTAATGTGTCCTTGTTATGGTCTCAAGCAAGTGTGGTCCTGATGTCCATCCTGATGACAATGCAAGACAGAGAGGATATTCGAGGCCTACTGCTTACAGAACTATGGCCCAAAGGACAGTGGGCAGGCTTCTTACACAGGTATGCAGTGTCTTGAGAGCAACTCAAGCAGCCAGGCCTCAAGTTCTGCTGAGGTTAACAGGGAAGCTACCAGGAGCACTCACTCCCATATGCAGAGGTGGGTGGGTGGCCTCGATCTCCTGCACCTTCAAGGAGAGTCCACCTTGGCTTTTATCCCCTTGTTTGATAGCAGGCACAAAGAGAAGGTGTGTGCAGGGTTACATGCTGCCAGCAAATGTAAGGAATTGAGCTCAGAAACTTCCACATTCCAGCCCAGCATGGAAGAACATACAAGGGGACATTCCCAGCCATACAAGGAAACAGCAAAGAAATTTTAAATCAGGAAGTCTTCTGGACTCATCAGAGAACTAAGATCATGACACAAGCCACTGTCCCCAATGGAAGAGAGGAGACACAACAACTATACCTTAATGTAACAGATAATAACAGAGTCAGGGTCAGAAAACCTCCAGTGCCTCCAAAAGAAAGAACCACGCCAAAGCTCAGCAAACTGAGATGTTGCCAGGCCCAATCTCTGGGGAGAGGGAAGCATGGATCCTCTGCTTCTCAGACTCCTACATTCAACTTCAAAAGGGTGACAATGACATGCACTTATGCAACCCAGCATAGAGACACAGGTGTTCTCAAAATTAAGCCAAACCATGGGTCTCTACAATGCTGCTCTCCTCCCTCCGCCTCCACAACAGCAGAGCACCTGTGAAAGAAGAGCAGATCAGATCAGGAGATGAACGTCTCACGGCTTACTGAAGAAGTCTGCAGGGTGCACCCTGACTATGGTACACTGATGAGGTGGAGAAATGTTTGGGAATACAGGGTATACTGAGAAACAGTGATCAAGAAATACAAACTCAGAGAAGACCTGTAACTACAAGACTGATACAATAATCAAAAACCCACCATAAATAAAAGACAACTGAAAACCTGGTTCAGAGGACTGCGAAATCCCCACCACCTAAGGCAGATCATCAGCCTACTACTAATCTCCTCCAGAAACCACAGACAAGGGGAGACTCAGCTCCACTCACAGCCACATTTATGCTGACAACAAAGATGAACACTGGGACAATTACAGTCGATGTCCCTTGTGAACACAGCTGCACATATCCACAAATAAATACCTGCACCAGGGCACAGTAATCAAAATCCAGTGGAGCGGGCATAGAGACAGAGACATAAATGCCACAACAGACCAACACGCCCAGATTCCTAAATGAACATGGACAGGAGGATAAAAATCACTCAATAAAAACAGAGTAATCTATTTTAAAAAATGTTCAACAAACTGGAAAAGTAGATATCCACATGGAAGAGAAGGAAGCAGAATCTTACCTTATTCCAAGTTAAAAAATAACTTGGAATAACTTTTACCTAGAGGTAAAAGCTAAACTTTTCTATCCAGCTATTAAAAGATATATTAAATTAGGGGAGGGTAAGGAGCAAAGTACTTTAGAAATGATGGTGTGTTTCAAAGAACCCCTGCTGTTAGGCTGAAGCTCAGTGGTAGAACACTTGCCTATCACACACAAGCACAAAAAGTACCCCAGGTGTACTGAGGAACTCAGGACACAACACATTGCAGAACAGAGCGAAGTGCTACAGGAAGTGAAGCCTAAAGAAGGTTTTTAGCCACCCGGGCTCAGTATTAAAGGAGCAAAGCCCGGAAGACGTGACATTTGTCTGTTTCCTCTTGCTCTTTCTTACCTATTAACATTGAAAACAAAACCCTGTCAAAATATAAGCAAACACTGGCTGAATATAAGTAAAAGGAATGGCAACTTCAGGGACTACACTGCGAGGAATAAATCACCTGCAAACATTATTTGGAAAATTCACAAAGAAATACACCACTTCTGTCATTCAGGGGAACAGAAGGGCTGGCCTCGCAAGCACGAGGCCCTGAATTCAAAGCCAACACTGCAAGAAAAGAAAATAAACCCTAAAGAAAGAAGAATGTCATTCCCCAACTTCCCTCAGAGCAATATTCAAATGGCCACTTTTTAAATATTTTCCAGGGGTGGTACTGGAGTTTGAACTCAGGGTCCCACACTTGCTAGGAAGGTGCTGGACCACATAGGCCACTCCCGCAACCCTTTTTTGCTTTAGGTTTTTTTCTAAAGGGATCTTCTCTTTTTGCCCTGGCAGGCCTGAACCATGATTGACCTATATGCCCCTCCCTTGGAGCAGGGATGACAGATGTGTGCCACCACACTCAGCTTACTGGTTGAGACAGGGTATGAACAGTGCTGGCTTTGGGACTAGATCTTCCTGATGTCTGCCTCCTGAGGACCTGAGATTACAGACATCATCCACAGTGCTGGCCCTTGAATGCCCACTTTTCAATAATGAGAGAAAAAGAATCAATTTCATAAAACATGAAGGGCCACATAGAAAAAATTCTGTGAGCAATCATCAGTAATACAAGTTATAATCATATACAAAGGCTGACTATCAAATAGGTCAAACTAAATAAATTATATTTTAAGTATTGACAATTCAGAAATGAATACACATACACCTGGGCACCAGTAGCTCACTGTAACCCTAGCTACTCTGGAGGCAGGGATCATGGAGGATCACAGTTTGAGGCCAGTTAGGACACACAGCTCGTGAGACCCTATCTCAAAAATACCCAACATAAAACAAGAGTGGCGGAGCGGCTCAAGTGGTAGAGTCCTGCCTAGCAAGTGTAAGACCTGGAGTTCAAACCCCAGTATCACCAAAAAACAACCACATTCATGAAAGGTCTGGTGATAAATTCAACAATGATCAAAATTTCATAGTAAATAGGAATTTATAATAATCAATAAACCACCTATTATTCACTGGTAAAAAATTTATGTTCTGTTACCACTGCGGTACAAAAATAATAACACTGTCAACAGCATCAAAAAATAAACTTGGTCAGGGTGCCTGCGGCTTACTCCTGCAATCCTAGCTACTGAGGAGGCAGAGATCAGGAGGATCTCTGTTTGAAGCCAGCCCCAGGCAAATAGTACATGAGATGGAAAAGCCTCATCACAGAAAAAAGCGTATATGGCTGGTGGAGTAGCTCAAGTGGTAAGAGTGCTGTCTAGCAAGCCTGAAGCCCTGAGTTCAAATCCCAGTGTCACCAAAACAAAAAATAAAACCCAAAAAAAACTTGGCACCAATATGGTAATGCATACCTATTCCAGCTCCTCAGGCGCAGAGGAGAGGATGATGACTTTGAAGGCCGCCTTGGCATTGGCACAGCACTTGCCTAGCGTTCAGAAGGCCTTGTGCTAAATCCTTAACACCAAAAAATAAAATAAAATAAAATATAAATAAATCTCAATAACCGATTTTCTTCCTTAGACCCCATCATTCTATCCATTTAGGATCTAAGAAAGAACATGGCCGTCTTATACTTAAATCCTGATATAAAATTTTGGTTTTGAAAACAGTTCATTTACAGACACAAGATTCTGTAAGGCGAGTGAGGAGTGTGGCTCAAGGGGTACAGCACCTGCCTAGCAAGCACATGGCCCTCAGTACAAGCCCCAGTACAGAGAGAGAGAGAGAGAGAGAGAGAGAGAGAGAGAGAGAAGAGAGAGAGAGAGAGAGAAAGAGAGAGAGATCCTCCAAAGGAAATAAGGGAGAAGGTCAGGGAAGCAGCTGCTTCACCCACAGTTCACAAGGGACCCAGGCTCACAAGGTGAACACAAGTCTGACCCTAGACACCACTGTCACTGTGCAGAGACAGCCCAGGGCTTCCCTCCCAGGGAGGGAGGGAGGAAGCCTGAGCAGCCAGGAAACTTCATTCTGGGGCCTCCCCACACCTAGGGCTCCCCCATCCATGTTCCCTCCTCCCAGCAGCAGCAGGCTTTGTCCTACAAGGCTGGGTTCTGACCCTGAGCTGCCCTGCCCTTGTCCTGCCCTCACTAATGACACCACATGTGTGCTGTTTACTGAACACCAACCAATTCTCCAGCACAAACCTGGTGTCCCACAATGCAATTCTGATAGTAGGAACACTTAGAGCAGTCCCCACAGCTTCCTGGCTCAGTGCTACCACACTGTCCTCACAGCAGATGCCAGGCCATGGCCTGTTTGTTGTGGCTAGTCACCAGTCACCTTCCTCAAGTGATGGAGAGGTGGCACTCGGGAGTCAACCTCATTAGTGATGGAGAGGTGCACTCGGGGTCACCTCATTAGCACAAATTCATAAAAAGGCCTAAAAGTGGCAATTGATAAACAGCCAAAGACACTCCTGTACCTCAGGGAATGCCAGGGCTTAAGGTTGGCTGTGCCAGAAGATCTGAGACATCAGTTTTTTAAATTATACTACTTTCCAAATATACCAGTCAAAATCACAAATCTTTCTCCCCATGTGACACAATGCAGGTGTCTTTCTCTCAAGTGACCCTCTCAGACTTCCATAATTGACACAAATTACACCCCAAACACACCAACTGCCTGAAAGGAAAAGAAAAACGCCTAATACATGAGCGCTGGCATCCTGGCAAATGGGACTGATCACCCAACTCCCACCTCACAAAGCTTTCCATTTGGTCAAAGCCGATCTTCCCTCCCCGCCCTGTCCACTTGGAGGATGTCACCGTCCCCTCCCCCTCCTTTTACACCTACGCACTGGCCAGACACAAATTATCCAAATACACACTTTTTATCTCAGAAATGATTCAATCAAGTGATCGGCAGAATCAAAACTGAAGCAAAAGTTTGTGAACTTCCTCTCCTCATCCAGGCCTCTGATCTCTCACCACCCTCCCCTGAACCAGCACATGACCCATCCTTTACTGTCACCCTAAAGACAGGTGACTGTCCCCGGAGCTGATGCTGCCCCTCCACCGCCCTTCCTCTCCCCTTCTTTCTCCTGCTGTTTGCTCCTCCCTAGAAAGCACAGCCTGCTCGCCTGGCCCTGGAGACCCGCAGACTTGCACTTGGGGCTGTCCCGCCTCTGCACTAAGCTCAGGTCCCGCCATCTGCGTTTCATTTGTACACTGTGTGCACACAGGCCAAGGCCGACACCAACCACGTCAGAGGGACCCGCGTCTCCCCTTCCGCTCCCCCACACGTGTCCCCGAGGACCCCTTTCCCGTGCCGGCCATGCGGGGAGTCCACAAAGCTAGGGATTCCCCGCCTCAGGACCAGGTGGCGGTGGAGACGCCGCTTCCACCATCAGGAAACTCGGGGCGCTCAGGTCTGCGCCGGGATGGGGACGGGGACCCGCGGCCACTCGGGACTCCCGCCACCTCCGCCGCACCGGCGCTGTGGGGAGACGCGGGGCTGCGGGCGCAGGGACAGGGGGCTCCGGCGGGGACAAGGGACAGGAACTTGGGGTCCCGGCTGCGCCCCGCCTCGCCCGGGGACCGAGGGACGAGCGGAGCGCGCCGCCGGCGGCGACTCTGCCGCAGACTCCGGGGCTCACGCGGGGCCCATCGCTCTCAACCCTCCTCGCCCGTGTCACAAATCCGCCCCACGCTCACCATTCCTGACTGCCGGGTGTCCTGCTGTCCACTCCTGCTCCTGGGGTCAGCGTCACACAGAGACGGGAACTGAGCCACCGGACTCCTCACAACAACCAGCTCAGTGACGCAACAATGGCAGCGCCAAAAAGGAAGCGTCCGCCATGTGGGCGGGCCTTTCCCCACTAGCGCTCCTGATTGGGCCGCTCCTGTGGCTCTGATTGGCTAGTGCTCTTGTCATAGTCCTGAGTGACAGGAGAACCGATTCTTACCTGGTCAGGAGGAGGGCAAATGACAAGTTCATCCACAACTGTTCCAGCCCTGGGATTCAACTGGGAGCTGACCTGGCCCAGCCTGGGAAAAGTGCGTTGAATGACACCTGGCTCCTGGCTCCTGAGAGCGGCCACCTGCTTCTTCCTGAACTCACTGGGCTCTTCCCGCTTTCTCCTCGTGGACGTGGATTTACAACTGGGAATTCCAGCTCTGACCCATGGGACGTCCTTGACAACAGCAGAAAGGTGGCCTAGGCAAAAGACACACACTGGAACAGGAGGAAGGGCAGACACGCAAGATTGAATTGGACCTGAGGCCAGGCTTTTCTCAACACCTTTTCTAATGCTCTACCTCTTCTCAACAAGAAAGAAAAAACATTACTAACCACGGACTACAGTTACCCAGTGCATGGAGAAACGGGAGTTATATGATGGCAGCAATATTCTACAAAGGAATCAAGAGGAAGAAAAGCAAACCTTTGAACTGGCTCAGACAGGCAGCCTCTATATCCAAGGACACAATGGAAGTCAATCAAATGACTCAAGGTGTTGAGCACATGCCTGCAAGAAGGAAGTACTGAGATCAATCCCCAACTGCAAAAGAATAAATACATTTTAAAATATACATTATGCCGGGATCGCAAAGGTCCTAAACCTGAAAAGGGCCCGGGATAAGAATGAACAGACAAGACACATGTCGAGAGGGCCATAAGGCTGATAACCAACTGGCCAAATTTTATTTTTCTCAGCAAGCTTTATACAAAAGAGGAAGAGACTTAAACATCAAAAACACTCTGACCTAGTCACAACCTTTCTGTTTTGGCCACCCTGCATGCTTACTGCCAGTGTCCTTGACTAGGTATAAACTTCTTTTCAATCAAGGGAGACCATGTAACATTCCTTCCAATGGTGATAGAGACATGGTGCACCTGCAGATTCTGACCTTGTTGGAATGCTGCTAAGTCACAGCAACCTTGTCATACTGTGGCTTTTGTTTCCCAACATCTCCTCTCTTTATAACATGGCGAAGGTCTGCTTTTAATTTGAAGAGCTGTACATGCCAATACAGCAGATGAGTGGAAATCAACACAGAATAAGCGAAATCAGAAAAGCCGTTCCAAGGATAATCCAAAATGAGTGTCTTAATATGTTAAAAGGATTAAAACCCTTTAAAGCGTCTAACACCCGGATGGCCACATCTGAAGGTTTAATGATAGGCAAATTACTGTTTTGTATGCCTAATATTTCTTGATGCAAAGTGTTAGGGTATGAGGCCAGCCACCTTCTGAGAGGACAAAGGACAGTCGAGACAAAGAAAGTCACAAGGTGAGGTTTATTTCCTAGCTAGCTAGGGTCCGAGCATCCGCCTGATGCAGCAGGTTTCAACAAGGACACTGAAAGCAAAGTTTAAGCAGGTCTTATACTCTTTAAAGCATCAATCATCATCACATAGGAATTCCTCATGCCCTGGGGGTCACATTTTCCTGATTTGCCCAATCTGGTGGTGGGGTAATATTATATTGGGAACCTGGGGAAACACAGAGGTTTACTTATCAGATTACAAGGAATGCATTCTCCCATAAATTAGGGGCTAGTAGTGGAATAGAAACCTAAGGTTTAGATAAGAACAACAGGGGAGTCCTGTTTTGGAAAGTTTATTTACAAGTTGAGACAAAGAAAGGCAGGAATGGGTGCTTATCTCTGCATTTGGTGCCTTTCATTCGGTCCTGAACTTTTTGCCATGGGCTCTAATGGGCAATTCCCTCACAGTCTGTCTGAGTTACAGCTTTTTTAATTGACAGTTTAACATGTTTTTACAACCCCCGTTTCAAGGCTATCTTCCTCTTCACGAGGTTACCCAAGAGTCATGCCAGTTATAGCTGATTTTTAGGCTAGGTGGGCTGCAAATTAAAGTACCCCAACACAAAGCAACTAAATCTAAACTCAGGTTAGTATGAGACCAGACTCCTTTTAAATACTGTTTAATATGTTCCCAGTTCCATTGAGACTCATTATAAGGTTTAACTGTGACACAAATCCATTGGTAGGAAGAATGACAGTGCAGGGACACACAGGTTTTCATGGTTCGTACCTCATCCCTAAGCAACACAACTACTGATTCCAAGGCATCAAGTCGTGTCTCAACCTTTTTGTGAATAGCTTCTTGAGATATTAGTATTAAAGACACATTTGTAGCCAAAGGATTAACATAATGAGCTGTTTGGATACTTTGTGACAAGGTTACAGTGGATGCCACACCAGAAGCAATAAGTGACACCAAAGCCAATACTCCACCAATCACAAGGCCAATGACTCTTTTGCACCTAGCTAAAGCTTTTTCAATTTCCAGTAAAGGCTGTACTCCTGGAATGTCATACCAAGTACCATTTATCTGCACAGGCAGCATAAGAAAAGCAGACTGCTTCACTATCAGTATCTTTTTTTGATCTAAAAGTCTTGCATTATTAATACAATTAGTTAAAATACAATGCTCACAGGTAATGTCATAGCAAGAGTAAGGGGTTCTATTATTACGTTCAGCTATCATGATGTGACCTGTTAATAAAAGATAAGGTGGAGAGATACAAGCAGTTATATTATGATATACAATCTGATAGTGCTGTGTTGATGACACTGTCAACAAGACCCATAGCTGCTACCAACCATCAAATATCCTTTTGCATCACTCCAGAAGATGTAACCCATATGGGTGAGATCCATCCGGCAGTTGTGACCCAATCCCCCTCATGGGTAGACATAGGTTGTCCTTGAGACCAGTCCCAGAGATGATCATTTGTCCCATACCTATCCAAGGGTCACTTAACAGGTGTTGGGTATGCACAATCCAACCAGGGAGGAGTTCCATAAAACTTTTCATCCAGATCAGGACAAGGATGAAGGCCCTCAGGTGACCCTTGTTGATTAAGAGAATAATGACTGGGAAATCCCATCTTAATAATAATATGCTAATGTAATTTAGTAAAATCATCTCGCGAGCCAAAGGCACTGGAAATTTGAGTAGTCAGTTGAACATCCAAAAATGCAATGCCATCATTCCAGGATAAACACAGAGGAAGAGAAAATGACCTTGCAGAATAATTGAAGGAGGCCCATTGATAAGGAATATGGGAAGAGTCCGAGCCCCCCAATAAAGCAGTGTCATTAGTAGAAATCTTGATGCTGATGTCATTCCATGACACAGGATGAAGAATGGGGGATTGGGGAAGTATGCCCAATAAGTCTCTCCAGAAGTCCCACACACCTGACAGAGAGTATGGTGACCATGGCCAAAAACAAACCCTCTGCTGTCTGAGATTGTGACGTACATCACAGCAACTCCTCGCCCTCTGTGGCCAACTTTTTCACTTGACCCCAAGTAGGCAGAGGAGAGGCATGGGTATTATGTGCCTTCTTTACTGGACAAGGCAGCGATCTCCTTCAAGTTATTTCTCATCCTTTTCTCTCGTCCTTGATCTCATCCACCACTTTGGGAATCACCGGAGGGCTCATGATGTCTCACCAATCTTTCTGGAATCCAACAAGGAGAATCAGCATCCCTGGGGAAAGTACAAAGAAAGCCTCTACCCCATATTAACACAGGGCCGGGCCCGTCCATTGATTTGTCAGTGGATCCTTCCAATGACCAAAGGATAAGTCTGTTTAGAAGGGCCCCAAAATCTTTCTGCTGCTGACCACCCCGGTTTATCTACATTTAAAAATTTTAAAACAAAAAAGAGTGTGATTAAGTCTATTAGCAGGTGTGGCATAATCTATTCCCCCTTTTTGTTTTAATAATTGAGCTTTAAGTGTTTGGTGTCATGCTTAACAATACCTTGACCTTAAGATAATACCAAAACGTAAACAGAAAGAAAAGAAAGACTTGGTGGTATAGGCAGGAGCATTATGTGTTTTTATGCATTTCAGAATTCCTAAAACAGAGAAAGCATGAAAACCATGGGCTACAACATCCTTGACGGCCTCTCCAGTTCATGCAGTAGCTACAAGGAAGTGAGAAAAGGTATCTAGGATAACATGTACAAATTGCAGTCGGCAAAACTCAGGGATGCGAGTAACGTCCATCTGCCATAAATGGCCAGGTAACAAACCTCAAGGGTTGATGCCAAAAGTTGGAACAGAAAAATGCTGTGGGCAGGAAGTGCAGCTGCAAACAATCTGGCGTGTGGCTTCCCTGGAAAGACCAAATTGTTTTTTGAGCACGTCAGCATTTTGGTGATGAAGGGCAGGAGAATCTTAGGTCTGTTGTAAAACAAATACCTGCTGTGTAGCAGCATCTGCAATGGCATTTCCCTGTGTCAAGGGGCCAGGTAAATTAGTATGTGCATGGAGGTGACCAACAAAATAGGGAGCAGAATGGTGATGGATAAAAGCTTGTAACTGGAGGAACAGGTGAAATAATTCTTCATCTGCAGTATGGGAGATCAATGCAGTTTCAATAGTACATAGTACCTGAAAAAGATATTGACTGTCTGTGAAAAGATTAAAAACACCATTAGAAAGCATTTCAAAAGCAAGTAAAATAGCATGTAGTTCAACACGCTGTGCAGACATAGGGGGGCAGTTCCTAGTGTGAACTTGTCTTTCAAATAACAGCAGCTACTCTGGCAGAGCTGTCAGTAAATACAAACCTAGCCCGAGGAATAGGAGTTTTTCAAAGAATCTGAGGAAAAATAAAAGAGTTCCTTTTGTAAAAATGGATTAATTCATTGCTGGAGAGTTAAAAGAAATTCATCCAGGAAAATCAGCCCGTGCTACCTGCCAGTCGTCTGACAATTGAAAAAGACAGGATACCTGTGTTTTAGTAAATGGA